GTGGGCTAACAGTTCATGGGGTCACAAAGAGTCTGACACGACTGAGTGACTCTCACTCAACACAGCCTCTCGAAATTGCTGATACCACTTCCCTCAGAGTATACTTCAAGCTTCACAGGCATCTGAGCAGCTCCGAGGAGGACATCATTTGGGCCTGGCTGCCTTTTCCGGTATCTGGCAGTGTAGTTCTGGAGCTCTCTGATGGAGCCTGCATTCCTGCACAGTTTTTCACTCAAGCCCTCCTATTGCTCGCTCACAAAGGAAACCTGGGGAGGAGCTCTAAAGCCTACAGAGGCAGTTCCTCATATTCTTTGAGAGGGGGCATAAAGAGTCTCTGGTCCATGGGCTTTTTTTCCCTTCCCAACTGAAAGAGGTAGATGTCTTTTTATCTACTAACCTCCTTTCTTCTTTAAGACAAAACATGGTTGAGCTGAAGAAAACAAATAATGGTGAGCAAGGCGGAAGGGAGCAAAATGAAAAATAGAGAAAAAATTGCTTAGTTTCTAAGTCGTGTCTGACTCTTTGCAACCCCATGGACTGTTGCCAGGCTCTCCTCTGTCCATGAGATTTTCCAGACAAGAGTACTGGAGGGGGTTGCCATTTCCTCCTCCAGGAGATCTTTCCAACCCAGGGATCAAACTCACACCTCCTGCTACAATATCGTAGGCAGATTCTTTACCGCTGAGCCACCAGAGAGAATTAAGATGATGTTAAAAAGTAACTTCGGGGCTTCCCAGCTGGCTCAGCAGTAAAGAATCCACCTGCCAATGCAGGAACTGCAGGAGCCGTAGGTTCAATCTTTGGTCAGGAAGAGCCGCTGGAGGAGGAAATGGCAACCCCCTCCAGTACTCTTGCCTGGAAAATCTCATGGATGGAGGAGCCTGGTGGGCTACCGTCCATGGGGTCACAAAGAGTCAGACACGACTGAGTAACTGAACACACATACAAAAAAGTAACTGCTGGTCATCGGGGACATGCAAAGGAAAATGGCAGTGAAGACAGTCCTTCACAGCCACCAGGATGGCCAAAATCAGAGAAGGACAAGAGCTGCTGACGATGGACAGCAACTGGAACGCTCCTACACCGCGGCGGGAAACGTGAGACGGTGTTTCTTTGGAAAAGAACCTTACAGCTCCTCCTAAGCTTAAATCATACAGTTGCCACATGACCCAGAGGCTTCACTCCTGGATATGCACCCGAAAGAAACGTCCACACACCAATGTCTACATGAATGTTCACAGCAGCATTATGCACAATAACCAAAAAGTAGAAAGAAGCTAAGCATCCATTATTTGATGACTTTTTAAAATGTGGTACATACATACAAAGAAACGTTATTTGGCAACAAAAAGCAGTGTAGTACTAACACACGCCATAGCACCGGGAGATTTTGAAAACATTAAGCTAAGCAAAAGACGCCAGTTACAGGAAAAGCGTATTACTTGATTGCATTCGTATCAAATGTCCAGAATAGGCACATGGAGACAGAAAGGAAATTAGTAGTTAGGTAGGACTGGGGGACTAGAGAGTAATGAAAAGTAAAAGCCAATGGACGTGGGGTTTCCTTTTGGAAGCAGTTGTGAGGGTTCTCGGAGAAGCCAATGATAACCCGCTCCTGTGCTCTTGCCTGGAGGATCCCACGTACGGTGGAGCCTGGTGGGCTGCGGTCCATGGGGTCACAAGAATGGGACACGACTGAGCGACCTCACTTTCACTTTTCACTTTCATGCATTGGAGAAGCCAATGGCAACCCACTCCAGTGTTCTTGCCTGGAGAATCCCACGGACGGCGGAGCCTGGTGGGCTGCCGTCTATGGGGTCGCACAGAGTCGGACACGACTGAAACGACTTAGCAGCAGCAGCAGCAGTGAGTGTTCTACAACTCTGTCCATAGAGTAAAACCCATTAAGTGGGCCACAGGGGTGAGGAGGAAGAATGAATTGGGAGAGCAGGATTGACACATGTACTCTACCCTGTGTGAAATAGCTAGTAAGAACCTGCGGTGGAGGACAGGGAGCTCAGTGCTCTATGATGATCTAGAAGGGTGGGACTCAAGGGTAAGGGGAGGCTCAAGAGGGAGTGGAGATATGCACTCTTATGGCTGATTCACTTTGTTGTATAGCAGAAACGAATACAACATTGTAAAGCAACTATACCCCAATTTTTAATATATATATAGAGTGAATTCTGGGATACATAAATGCTCTCTCAAGAAAGCAGTAATATTTTAAAGAGATTTTAAAAAACTGATTACAAACTAAAGCTGCTAATCTATCCCAGGAGAATTTGAGTCTTTGTGAATGAGAAAAGCATAACTGCAGAAGTGTCAGAAACCCAAAATCCTAAGCCAGTAAAGAAAAATCAGAAAGAAAGGCTCTATGGAAAGGGGAAAGGGAAATGATTTCCATTTAACTGAATTTCAAGACAGTGGGTGTGTTGGTGTCACATCACCCCAAACTCATAGATATTACATGATGGGTTGCAGAACAGTAAATTCAGACTTTCACCTGAAAGTGATCACTGCTGAAAATAAAGGATCTGGAGGAGAGGTGAGAATTTTTTTAAAATGTAAAGGCTGATGTTCACTTTTTGGAGACAGAAGCAAAAAGTTCATGAATGTAAGGAACCTCTGGTATATTGCATCCCATGTTCACAAAATAAGAATATTTGATCTAAAATATACACCTAAGATACATCTCCTAAGATACAACTGAGTCAGAATTCTGAACTCAACTAGAAAAAGTAAAGCCTTCAGGTCCTCAAGCTAAGTGTAACATATTGACAGCCAGAGCAGTGCTGGCACCGGTTCAGATTCAGGCAGAAGAAGTTAGAAGTGAAAGGTTCGCCAAGCTACCAGGTCATAGATCTCCTTATAATGAGACTTTAGAAGCCATCAATGCAATTGCTGACTGAAGTGAATCCAGTCTCCTAATGTGGCAATACATCAAATGATAATATGGAATCCTCATGGCTATTAGCAGTGATAATGTTAATGCATTTTTGGAAACAGAACAGTTAATAGAGAATTTCCTTGACATTTTTTCGTCTAAATTTCAAACTATTACCAAGACCCTTATTTATTCCCACTACATCTTAGTCAAGCATCATTTGTGTGGAAAATCCGATTACTGCTTCCTATAAAAACAGATGAGCCATTAATTGATCCAGTGTTGGCAGTTCTTTTTAGACAGAAACAAATGATGCCTCTTAACTTTGCATTTGAAGCTGAAGAATCTGATTTCATGCACATGTAAAAAAAGAGACATATTTAAAGAATCCTGCAAAGTCGACTAACAACCTTCTTGGAGTAAAGAACAAAAACAAAAACCCCTCCTTCACTCTCTCCCCAATGAAGTTTAGATATTAAATATGTTTCTAAAAATCCTTTACATGATTTAAAATGCTCTTCCACAGTCCTCCAAATCCTCAACTATCATAAAGTTTACACAGGGCTCCTATGATTCAAGGTCAGAGTACAATCTTTTTCACCTACAAAACTACTGAGCTCAAGAAAGTATATTAAATGGTCCTCAATGCTCTATATGAACTTTTTAAAGAACTTAACTGCCCCTTCCTCCCCTTCATTCATTCATGCGTTGCATTATTTTTGACCCTGAGTTAGAAGTACTGAACCTTCCCCACCCCACCTGTTTGCAGCAGGGTTGACAAGTTCCTTGTCTGTAACAGCTGATGGTGACCACCAGGGGCAAACCCACTGTATATTTTCTAATAGGTAACAGGAGCTCTGGGAATGAAAACTCGTCACCAAAGAATGCACCCCTTCCCCAGTGTGGCCAAAGCCTGCTACTCCATTTCAGACGCATAACTGTTTAATTTCTTTAAAAGCCAGGTTTTAATAATGTCTTTGATCCTGTGACTCCAGTAAGAAAATGCAGATGCAGTGGCCTCTGCCACTTCCACTCCCTCCTACTCCCTCCCCGATGCCACAGCCTCAAACTCAGCTTCTGGCAAAGCAGGGGGGGGGGGGTGGGGCAAGGTTCTAGGGGCACACAGAAACTCCTTAACTCAAGGAGGCGAAGCTGCTAAAATGAGCTGCTTTTGCTCACAAACCTGGAGAGGACTTTGCTGTTCCTACCAAGGAAGCACTGTTATGTCAGGCACACGGAGAAACAGTGAGTTTTAGGGCAGTCATGGATTTCTAGTCTGGGCACCCTGCGATCTTTACGAAAACCGTTATTATTTCTACCCTGAAATCTCCTTTTCGCTTTAAAGGAAACCTTCAGCATACTTAACCTTCCAGGCGCGGGGGGGGGGGGGGGGGCACGGATAATGCAATACTGGAAAAGCAGGCATAACTTTATGGCCACTATGCTCTTGTTGGCTTGTGAAGGATTGTTGATCATTTACCACCGTGCCCGCCTGTCAGCCTGTCCGGATGACAGCTTGGCAGAGCACAGGATTTTCAGTATTATTTATGACGTGCGTCAACCCAGCGGGTGGCGGGGGGTGGAGGATGGACTCTTAATCGCCCATGAAAAGCTGAAACCCTGAAACCCGACTTGAGCAAGTTGGCGGTGGCGAGCGCCAGCATCAGTAACCCTACCTCCCTCCTGATACCGAAACGCCGGCATCAGGAGTATACCTGATGCACACATAACAAGATCAGATCTCCGGGTCCCAAACAGATGCGAGGCCAGTCACCAGCAAGGCAACATCCGAGCCCTGCCCGCCCCCTCCTCCCCCCCGCACCCCCCACCTTCCAGATCCTCCTCGGAAAAGTTAGGCCCCCTCGGCCGACCCCTGTCCGAGTGACCCTGTGTTAAGTGGAACGCACTCCCTGGTCCCCCCGAGGCAGTGAGTCCTCTCTTCTTTGCAAATCCCACGAAGTGACGCAGAGCGAAACTTAGTAGGTCCAGGCAACAGAGACGCGTCTTTAGCAAAGCACAGACTTCCCAGAAAGGAGCGAGGAGGCAGGCGCTGGATCCTTCTCGGCGCCTCCAGCCTCCCGGGGCTCCCCGCCCCCGCCCCGCGCCCGCTTACCTGCGTGGGGCATGGTGATGGTCTCGTTTGTGTTGGAGCCCACGTTGAAGATGACCACGGCGGAGGCGTTCTGCAGGAACGCGTTCCGGATCTTATCCCTGTAGGTGCAGTTGCCCTTGGGGATAAGGGCTATCCAGTTCTTGCCGTGGGCCGGGGCGGCGAACTTGGTGTTGGGGTCGCAGGCCAGACGGTCGTGGGCCGAGCTGGCCATGACCACCTCCCCGCGGGCGTCCTGCTTGGGCGAGTGCTCCCCGTAGCGCCCGCACTCGGTCTTCTCCGAGTGCAGCTCGGCGGGGGCGCCGCCGCCCGCCGCCCCGGCCCCGGAATCCGGCGCGGGCTCGGCGTAGGTGATGTTCACGAAGGCGGTGTACCATTCCTCTTTCTCGGCCACGGTGAAGTCCAGGCAGACCAGATGCACGAAACAAAAGGAAAGCAGCCATGTTGAGAGCGCCAGGCTGCGGCACGCTTGGATGAGAGACAGTGCCATCTTTATCCACCGGGGCCCCCTCCCCGCCCCCCGCGCGCTCCCCCCCGCGCCGTCCCTCCTCCCCAGCCCCGGCCAACCCCGGGCCGGCCGCTTGTCGCTGTCCTCCTCCTCCTGCTCCTGCTCCTGCTCACTCCCGGGCCCGGGGGGCCGCGGCCGGGACGCGCAGCCGCCGCGGAGACGGGATTCGGAGCGAGCGGATGGCGCCGGCCCCTTCCCCTTTCAGCCGGAGCGTGGCGGTTGCATCTCGCTTCGCGGGCGCAGGAGGGGCGCGGGCGGAGGGGGCGCTCGGGGTTTGCGGCGGAGTCCGGCTGCCGAGCGTCCTGCTCCTTCGCCCGGCTTCTCCTTCTGGCATAGGGGTGGCAGGGGGCCCGGGAGCGTGCGGGGTGGCGGCCCGGCGCCCTGCAGCCCGGGCGGGGACGGGCGCGGCTGCTCGAAGCCCGGGGTGCCGGCGAGGTGTCCGGGTCGCCGTCGCCGAGCGCTGGGGCGAGCGGGTCCGGCTGCGGGCGCGGCGGCCGCCAGCGCTGCGCGCCGGGTCCCTCGGGCTGCGGGCACTCGGCTCCTCTCTGGCGGCGCCCGACACACACTTGCCGCGGGAGGGGCCGGCTCGGGGGTACCGGGAGCAGCCGGCAGAGAGACTACGCGGTCAGTGTGTGTGTGCGTGTGTCTGTATATGTTTGTGTGTGTGTCTAATGTGTGCGTGCAAGGAGGAGCTTAGTGTGATGTCAAAGATTCTAGGCTTCTCTTGCCACGCTTCCCCGGTTCTCTCTTTATGGGCAGCAGCGACCCCTGCTGGGTCTCAAATTCCACCTAGTCCGCGACTTGGTCCAGTTGGTAGGCGAAAGGAGGAAGCGACCCCTAGACCTAGGAGGACAGGAACAACTTCCTGCATCTTAAACTTTAGTGGGTAGCCAGGTCCTTCCAACACCATGCGTAGGTGCTGGGGCGGCAATAATCAAATTTGAACGTACATCCCTGTCACTCGGGGGCGGGGGCGGAGTGTGGAGTATTTAAAACTCAGACTGATGGGCCCTGCTGCAGAGTTCGGTACATCTGGGATGAGTTCCATATTAGGCTTTTCTAACAAGTAACCAAGTCATGTTGATGCTGCTGGTCACCCCATCAGCATGCTTATAGGCGTTGGCTTCTTTTTTGCTGTCTGGCAGCCAGCGTGCTGTATGTTTTCCTATAGAATGAGTGTTTTCTAACTCCGTAAGAAAATAAATTGGGTGAGCTATTTCTTCACTGTTTTTGTTCTGGTTGTCATGACAGGTAACAGAATACTTACAGCATCAGTAGGCAAGGTAGGCTGGTTTTAGGGAGTTGTTTCTAGAGTATTGCCCAGCTGTGCACAGAGATCACAACTAGTTAGCAGAGAGTAAGCCACTCTAGAGTTGTGTTCTTAAAACTTCGATACAGCACAATTCCTTACCAAGTAAATGTTTGAGTAGTTAACTTTTCACACCCACAGTTTCCTTGGCTTGAGATACCTGTCAAATCTCAAAAATAATTTGTGTGATGGTTCTTAATCACCTACATTGAACTTCCCATCTGGCACTCTTTCCGAAAACTCAGGATCCAATTGATGATGAAAACAAAAGTCCACCTTTTCCCCCCTCCCCTCTAGACCTTAGCATGTTTTATGGCTACCCATGAGCACGGGCTGTTCTTTTTCCAGCAGTGGTAGGAACAGCTGGTGGCTGTTAGGGGAGAGAAAAGAATCCCAGCTATACCCAAATTAGAAGCAGGCCCAAGAAGAACTGCTTAGAAGAATGTGTCTCTGTGGTATTGGATGTGCTGGGTTTGTGTCTTTCCCTAACTTATTCATCTCAGAAAATAGGCTTCTAGGCAATCGGGACAGTGCTTTTTATAGTGCCTAATGCCAAAATGGCAAAAGTGAAGCAGCTGGTTCCTGAACCACCAGAGATCTGAGTCAATAGCCTAAAAATCCCAGCGAGGTTTTTGTATAGAGGCCTCACAAACCAGAGTGGTTCCCCATACTTCTCTGACTCTTAGCGATTTTTCTCCAACCACAAAACTTGGTGAATCTGTATCATTAAGAGTTCGTGACTGCCCCATTCTTCTCTCCCTGAGAGGATAAGTCAGAGGCCAAGGAGATGGCAGGATGAAGGAGGTAGCTTCCTGGCTGGGAGACTGATTAATTATAGGGCTATGGGCAAATATGTAAAATATTAAATATAATGGGAGCCAGGTTTCTTAGTACTGAAGAAAGAATTTATGAATATGGAATGAAAGAAAGCTATAAATGTTACCCAGGTCGGGTTTGACTGCTTACCCCCGGAAAGCCAATAGCTGAGACAAGTTGGTTGAGAAGAAAAGGTTTGTTTACTCAAGAGGCCAGCAACCTGGGGAGAAGGTGGCTGCTGGTAAGTTGCTTCAGTCATGTCCGACTCTGTGCGACCCCATAGGCGGCAGCCCACCAGGCTCCCCTGTCCCTGGGATTCTCCAGGCAAGAACACTGGAGTGGATTGCCATTTCCTTCTCCAATGCATGAAAGTGAAAAGTGAAAGCGAAGTCGCACAGTCGTGCCTGAGACTCTTCTCTACCCCATGGACTGCAGCCCACCAGGCTCCTCTGTCCATGGGATTTTCCAGGCAAGAGTACTCGAGTGGGGTGCCATTGCCTTCTCGGGGAAGGTGGACTTGTGTCCAAACACCAACTTCAGAGATTCTTCTGTACCGTGAATGGTTTTAAAGGGAGAATCACTGGGGGAAGGGGTCAGAATCTTCATTTATCTTTCCCTGTGTGCAATCTTCCTTCTGATTGGTTGGTGGTGAAGTAAGAGAGTGGAGCTCCAGGAGTATTGTGCTCAGCCTGAAGTTGCCGTCATTCCCCTGGGTAGGGGACTTAGTTCCTGCAGAAGAACTCAAAGATGTTGTTATATATATACTCCTTGAAGAAGGGGCCGGGACCCTGCCCCACTGCTCCACTATTGTTTCTTGGCTGCTACTTCTTTGTTTCTGCGTTTCCTCCCTTCCCTGATAAGCAACTGTTTGAATCTGCCGTTTGAGACTCAGGGAAGATCTGTGGAGGCTGAATGAAACCTACTAAATAAGAAATGGGGTCACAGAAAGGGTTTGTACACAGGTGGGCCTCACAGGATCCTGCTCAGCTTCATAAAGAACCCTAAGGTGTTGGACTGAATTCAAAATGAGTGGGAAATCATTACACACACACATAAACACCATAGCTATTTTTATTCAGAGGCTAGAAGTAATGGACACATCAGGTGCCCAGAAGCTCTTGGTTTCTGAGTTCCATCCTCCCTTAAGTGAAACCAGGGCTGATTCCCATGCTTGGGCTGGAAAAGTACAAGGTGAGCTAGGAACCTATTACAGGAAGTGCTCAAAGCATGATGGAAACATGCTGAAAGGACATGCATAAGCTTCCACTGGCCAAATCTGGGGCAATCTGGGTATCAAATAATGATAGTAACTGATTGCAACCTATTGGGTAAAATAGAAATCCATGAATCTATGCTAATATAAATGAATGAATAAATAAGTGGAATGAATAAATAAGTGGAATAAATAAATAAGTGGAAAATAAGGGACAGCTCTTCCCTTATGAAGAATTTCAACTAAATAAGGTTGATAGGAGACTTCCCTGATGGCCCAGTGGTTAAAACTCTGTGCTTCCAATGAAAGGGACATGGGTTTGATTCCTGCTTGGGAGGTAAGATCCCACATGCTGTAAGCCCTAAAACAAACAAAAAACACTGGTAGACATAGTAAATCATTATTTGCCTGTGTTGGTTGACTGTGGTCAGAGTCCTCAGTGAATGCTGAGGCTGGTGACTGGGTGTTTGATGTGAAGCAGCATGCCAGCCTGATCTTAACATATCTTCTGAGAAGTATCTATTGGTTACGTGGAGGGAAATGGTAAATTCATTGAGGAGAGCCCTGGAAAACCCCCAAACTGGCCAGGTGATCAAACGAGCATCACCAGGAAGGGAACAAGTCACATCAGGTGCCTCCTGATGTGCTGTGCTGAGCAGAGCACTGCATCTTCTCTGTTACATCCTGAAGGATGTTTAAGAGGCATGACCACTAAATGAAATGAACAATTCTGGATTGGCCCCCGAACTGGACAGGAAAAACAAGCAGTTGGCAAAAATGGAATGAGGTCTGTGGATTGGTTGGTAGTGTCTTATAAATGCTGATTACCTGATTTGAATGTTTATCTTGTAGCTATGTAGAAGTCCTTTATGTGGGGAATATGTACACTGAAGTATTTAGTAGTGATGAGGCATTCTGTCTGCACCTTGCTCTTACATGATTCAAAAAATAATAATCTCTGAGATCTTGATTTCTGCTGGCCACTATCTCAAAGAAGCAGAAATCCAACTCATGATAAAATTAAAAGTCCATTTCGAGGGCATGGTCTTAATTTTTTTCCAGCCTTGTACTGTTGATTGTTGATCTTTAACAAAGTGCTCCTTTTTACCCCACTAACACTACTTGAACCACTAGGCTGGGTGTCCAATAGGAAATCAAATAGATGAGGGTCACAGAATCTACACTTTGAGGTGGGAGAAACAGAAAAATTTTAAGTCATAGATAGTGCCAGGCAATAACAAGTCCTTGAAGAGAAAGGCAAAAGAGTGAGGGAAGGTAAGCTCACTTATTTTTTTTTTTCCATTTATTTTTATTAGTTGGAGGCTAATTACTTTACATCATTGCAGTGGTTTTTGTCATACATTGAGATGAATTAGCCATGGATTTACATGTATTCCCCATCCCTGTCCCCCCTCCCACCTCCCTCTCCACCCGATCCCTCTGGGTCTTCCCAGTGCACCAGGCCCGAGCACTTGTCTCATGCACCCAACCTGGGCTGGTGATCTGTTTCACCCTAGATAATATACGTGTTTCGATGCTGTTCTCTTGAAACATCCCACCCTCGCCTTCTCCCGGAGTCCACAAGTCTGTTCTATACATCTGAGTCTCTTTTTCTGTTTTGCATATAGGGTTAGTATTACCATC